GAAAATGGATGGAAAAAAAAAATGAAAAAATTGTGTGAAAATGAAAGGAAAATAAAAAAAAATGAAAAAATTGTGTGAAAATGAAAGGAAAATAAAAAAAAATAAAAAATTGTGTGAAAATGAAAGGAAAATAAAAAAAAATAAAAAATTGTGTGAAAATGAAAGGAAAATAAAAAAAAATAAAAAATTGTGTGAAAATGAAAGGAAAATAAAAAAAAATAAAAAATTGTGTGAAAATAAAAAAAACGGGTAAAAGTAAATTGTGTGAAAATGAAAGGAAAAGAAAAAAAATTAATTGGAAATTAAATATAGTAGTAGAACAAGCGAACAATTCAAGTATCATATTAATCTATAATAATATAAGTGAGAATAAAAGATAAAGAAAAAAAAAGAAAAAAATTGAGTGAAAATGAAAGGAAACGGAAAAAAGGGGAGAAAATTCAAGTGAAAATGAAGTATAGTAGTAAAACAAGTGATGGATTTTGCGCATATTAAACTTCCGTACGTATTTGATTGTTGCGAAGATATCGAGCGGAGCATAAACTGCCATTTGCCGCATTTTCTGTGTGTTCGTTCATTCGTTGAATTATTTCACAACGACTACACCAGTTGAGCTCTCGTCGAGACACATACCATTCGGAAGAGCGTCGTGTATGTATCCTATGCCGCGGTCTATGTCGTCGCTGTGATGGTGAGCGAACAGAAAATACACGAAAAACGCCTCTCCCGGGAATCGAACCCGCGACTGTTGTTATTGTACTCGTATATTTTTTCAGAATCAGTACGTTACTGGGTTGGCCCTTTGCGCCCTCGCTAACATTGGTTCCACGGAAATGTGTATGTCGTTGAGTAGAGAGGTAGGGAGGAGGAGGAGTTGCGGAAAGTGTGGTATGTAAAAATAATATAAAGTATAATATTTAATCGGAGTTTCACAACAACCCGTTTTACGTGAAGTGGCGTATTTGGCGAATTTCACACCGGATGAATGATTTTATTTCACATAAAACGTATCGCGTGTTTTACGCGTTAGTCGCTGCTTAGATGCGTTTTTCGCGAAGTGAAATATGTTTTACACTGGTGTTTTTTTCTTCTTATCACTAGGATGAAACTCATTTGTATCAGGTTGAACAGCTTCTTGTTGGGCCTGGCAGTTCGAGTCCTTATGTGCAGAAAAAAGCTGTATTGTGCGCGTTACGGATTGTTAGAAAGGTGAGGTTGTTAATGTATTTGTATTTTGAGAAAATAAATTATCATT